CAACGTGCGTCTGATCCATCTCCATTTCCTTTGGCATATTTGTTAGGCAGTAGGTCTTTGGTTGATTCGTTTTTAGAGTTTCCTGTAGCTAATCCTTTCTAGTTCAAGATAGTGAGTGTTGATTTTTGCAACAGTAAAGGATAAAATTGATCGGTTATCTGTCTGTCTAATTATATTTGTCAAGATTAGCACACATGAAGCAAAAACGTTGATTGGTTCATCCACAGAGTAGATGGTCAACTCACTTATCAGCTATTATAATGAATACTTATGACCAATATGCGAAATATTATCATAATAACTTTGTTATATGTTCACTTGTTGTTGTTATTATAATTTGGATTTTCTACATAAATAACGGTTATCAACAGTATATTATTGATTTTTTCAAGTGCTGTTAGTTATTTATACTGCATAAATCGCCAATCAAAACAACCGAAATTTCATTTTTATGTGAATATATTTGTGATATAAGGTTAATGTGTTAATTTATGTTTGATGGACGTATTCCAATAATCCAATATATCGAAACTCATGAGTTCGTAAGTCTGTCTGTCTGTTTTCAACATAGAACTTTGCACCGGCGTGCAGCAGTTCAATTCGCCACACTCCCTCCATGTAGCACATAAACCAAGAGAAGAAAGTAGAAGAAATCCATAAGAGACATTAAACAGAGGTGTGAGACAAAGGAATAGTAATAACGAAGAACAATATAGTTTCATTGGAAATCATAAGTCACAAAGAGTGGATGCATCTGCGCCATTGAGAACGATTTTGAGCCATATCACCAATTGTTTCCAACCATTGGTTTTTACCGTCCCGAGGACCCCAACCAGCCAGGCAGTCTACACCATCCTACGTGGCTGGCTTAAACTAACTGTTGTGGATTTGATTGGCTGATGAAGCCATGTTTTGGTTTGACCGCCACTAGCTCTTTTCCAGCCTGACCCTATGTCAGCTAACATTGCCCGTAAGTTCGTAAGTTAAACATGAAACCTTAAGAAAAGGAAAGACGGTTGCAGTGAAGAAAAATAGTTTTCTTTTTTACGAATTCATGAACTAGGCTATATATTAACACATATATTACGGAGGGGTGAGAGTTCGAAAACAATTTCCGGTCAGAGGTCAAAGATTAAGCGTACTTCTTTTGTTTACATAGAGTTGAAATACTTTTCAAATGTAAGTGAGTATCTTGATTTTACAAGGATGTTCTTTTATTGAACTAACGACACACGTCCTCGCTCTTGCTAGATAGACTGGGTAGTGCTCACGACCGCGCTTTACAAGCGGGCTTAGGATACAACCAATAGGATCGGCTTCACTGAAGCAAATATGTTGATGTGGCCGAATGCAATAGCTTGTCTTTCAAGTGTGTTGGTTCAACAGTTTTTTGCTAGAAGATTGATACCATCAGGTGCGTAAGTGTAGACGTTCAGTTCCATGCTTGTCGGATGATTCTAAGTATTCGGTCTCCATTGATCAACAGGCAGATAGACAAACAGAGTTATAGGGTGATGGCTAAATTGAGTATGTGAAAATTGTACCAGCTGGTAAAAACTATCCAATGAACTACTACAACAGCGTAGGCTGTCCATATCGCTTGTAATAAATTGGCGATTAGTGTCAATAAGTATGGTATGTGCTTTGTGCTGCCTAAATGCAAGGTATTGTTGTGAGAGCCTGTACTCGTAATCACTCTTGGAGGTCAGGGGCTTGAAGTTGTCGACAATCCGTGTATATAGGTAGTTGTGTGAGTAAGTGCTGGTAGAACTGTCACGAATAAAATCCGTCTGACCGTATACTGAAAGCCGGGGTGGCATACGCCAATTTTAGCCAACTCTGGCGCTATCATCTTGGCTGTTAAAGGTTTGGTTTTTACAATGTGTGGAGTCTTGCTATAGGCTCGCGGAACCGGACCTCTTTGAGCTGAGGATGTGCGGTGACTCTGCGTGTGCGATCGTTGGTGCCTCCATAGAATTGCTCATATCCATTGGTATCATCGTATAGGTAATTCTTTAGTTCAAAGGCTTGTGTTTGGACACGGCAGAATTACCTGCCATTCAGTGCTGTCATCTTAAAGCACCAGCCCAGTGGCTTGAGCACGTGCTATGCATATCCTCTTGGTGGCTTTCATACCACTATCTTAGAGAATGGGTGGAAAAGACTGACCGGATTCAATGTGGAACTTTGCAGAGAACTGCAGCATTTCCAGTTGCCACACTCCATGTACCACATAAAGCAAGACAAGAGAGAGAAAAACAGATTCAAAAGAACAATAATCAGCAGAAATGTGCGGGAGAATAAGTAGTAACATGGAAAAACCATAGGGTTTAACCGATATGCTAGATCACAAAGAGTTAATGTATCTGCACAGTTGAGAACGATTTCGAGTCATATCACCAATCGTCTGCGGCCATTCAACTAGACACTAAGTCTACATGTCCCCACGTGGCTTAAACTAACTGTTGTGGATTGCACTGACTGATTTCATGTTTTGGTTTGACTACCACTAGTTCTTTTCTAACCTAATCCTATGCCAGCTGATATCGCCCATCGAGGAGGGTAATGGCTATTCTAAGCGTGCGTAAGACATGTCCTAACCATCTTAATCGATGTAGCTTCGTAACCCCATCGATTGATATTCCCTCCTTACCTAGCACTCCGCACCTAACCTCAATATTGCTCAACCTATTATACTAACTAACATGGGAGATAGGACGAAGACACGTGTGATCAAAGACAGGTAGTTTTTTCATATCTTCCACTTTCAGTGACCATGTATCATGGCCACAAAAGAGAACGAAGTGAACTACTGAGCAGTATACACGTCCTTTGATCGATAGTCAGCCGGATGTCAAGTTTACGTGAGGAGGGGTGGTGTAAGTTGCCACATGAACCTTTTCTATCTGTGCTGAGATTTTGTCAACAATCAGTCTGCCGCGGCTGATGCCACTTCTCAAGGTGGTGGGATATACAATATCTGTGTTAGGTTGGCATCAGCTGACACATCACGACTGCCCGCCTAACTTTGCTTAAGTTTTTATTCAGTATTTCCAATAAATACATATTTAGATATTATACTCAATTAGAGCTTATTAACCTGGAATAGATATCTCAGATACCAGACTAGGAAGCACACGTACTGTATGATAACCTGAATGGTACTACCCACTTGCTCCAGACTGAAGAAAGTAGGCATATAACAAAATTGGAACTCGGAGTGTTTAGACCAATGGAACAAATATCTTCACTGGATATTATTTATTATATGCTATTATGTTTTTCATTTCTTACTTAAGTTTATGAAATCTCCGACTGTTGATGATTATTTATGCGTATAAATAAGTTAATGGGACAATATTACCTACTCATCGTTTACAGGTTGCTAAACTACAACATTTGTGAGTCAAATATAGTTTTTAGGCATAACTACTACTACTACTACCACTACTGATAATGTTCTGTCAAAGATCTTAAATTACGTGTATCTTATATTCCCCTTAAACATACTTATTTCATGCTTTATTGTTATGCTTATTAGTGCTTTGTCTAACTGGCTTTGCCTATGCTTTTTGTGATTCTAACACCATTTTTGTATTTATTATTAAATCAATTCAATTTGTGCTCTGTTTGTCTCTGTCTCTCTTTTTGTCGCACAAATTTGTTTTAAGTTTCAAATAAGCTGTACTCACCGAACAATTTTATCATGTAGATGTATACAACAACAATAACTACTACTACTACAGTAGCACAATTAGTAATTTCAGTTTTGATCACAAACTGGCTTCATTTGGAGAACCACGGAAAACAGCTGTTTCACCCGAGTTTGGGACTCTTCAGCACTACACACCCCCATGATCCCACAAGCAGTCGAACCCAGGACTTACAGGTTATATGGCGAGCTTGTAGACCATTCAGCTACTAAGACAATCCAATGGCCTCTATTGGGGTCTCGAACTAGGCCCATGAATTCTAACTTCTGTCGTTTCGCGATATTGCGGGACCTCCCAGTCGATATTATCACTGAGTATTTATCCTCGCGCCCAACTTGTTGGATCAACTAGTCACTAATTTCCACTGGGATTTCAGGTAAGTTTTTTCTGTAGTCTGTCACTAGTGAGAATTAGACTGATTTTTTAAGTGTTAGGTTTCAGGGAAAATAATGATCGATGACGTCGGTTGTTGTTGGCGCTAAAAGTCATGAATTGACAGAAATTAAAATTCACGGGCTAATAGATTCCATCCTGGTGGCTAAATGGTCGACGAGCTCGCCTTGTGACTTGAAAGTCCTGGGTACGATCTCTGATGGGGAGTCATGGGTGCTTATTTGCTGAAGAGTCCCTAACAAAGGCAAAACAGCTGCCCAGTACTCCCTAGTTTTATTGGTTCTGTAACTGAAGTCAGTTTGCGATGAATTTTGAAATCAGTCGAATTCCTGCAAACTAACCCTTGGAGTGAATATAATAGATTGCAATTTGTAATCAATCTATTTTTCTCTTTCTTCCATTCTTTATCGCGAAACACAGTGTCTTTTGTAGCGAACTATGGATCATGAATTGACTTCAGCGAAAGAACTATTTAAAACCATCAGGGTGTACTGGACAGCTTTTTTCTTCTTCATAGTTTGGGCACCCACTTGGTACCATTGGATTGTCACTCAGTGGATGAGTGATCAAAAAGCTTGCCTTGTGGCTGGAAGGTCCTAGGTTTGCTCCCCAAGCTGGGTAATGGGTGCGTACTGATGAAGAGTCCCAAACTAGGGTGCAACAGCTGTCCATTACTCCCTTGACTTTATTATTCTGTCGTCAGACACATTAACTAACCTTCATTAGTTTCTGTTTTTGCTTCCAGTTGGTCTGCCGTTGTCTACTTCGAAGTACTTTCGAAGCATTTGAAATTCTACTGATGCTTTTTTATGCACAATATTCTATGTTGTTAATGCGTATACCACCACTGTGTATCTCTCTGTTTCCTTCTTTTTCTCATGCCTTCAATTTCAGTTTCGTATAAGTACTACAACAGAACGAAGTGATAAAATGCCACATTTATTATTCCTGCCTGGTTTAATTGTACAATACGATGTTGTCTTCAATAATCTCACAACTCACTTCAATCAAAGTCGTTTCAGTCTACAGTTAGTTATGATATCAAGTGTAGCTTTAGAGAAAACAGAAGAATTTCGTAGACACACATTGTCTAGTATTGATGATGAAGTGACACCGGGAAATTTTGAGGTAAAGTGTTTTTTTCTTTTTTCTGTGTTTTCGTATGTCTGATATGAGTAGTTGGATACACCACAATCATACCAACCAGTAATGCTTGCCGACTACCCAGAATGAAGTAATCCAGACCGTTGTTTCTCTCGTTTATGATCGAGTTAATTGGCCGTGTACACCTAGTTTAAATCAGCTGAGAGAGCTAAATCAGTTCAAGTCACTCAAATTCTGGCTACCTAGTTACTTGGGTCAGCGTGTGTAATACATTGGATTGCAAATTCGACTTTAGGCTGAGTCCGACCAGATACAGAATTGATTAGCTTCACCCTGGACGAGCAGAATCGTAACCTGGTAGTATTTAGGTCACCCTGATCTGACTAGCAATCAGTTCTAGTTATTTGTAGTGGTATCTAACTACTAATATAAATCAATCAAGCAGAGCATGTAGCGTGATGCATTTATGCTTGCTTTCTTGATTGCCATTTAGTAAGATATGATCTAGTAATCTGAATAATTGTGGTGAAATTTCACCTTAAATTGTTTAAATTGCAAATATTGAATTTGATTCAAACACATATGCAATTTTTCAGTAAAGATATCAATGAAGTTGCTATTGGAAGTTAGTATAAACAGTGTCGTGCTTCCAGTCCTCTGTAATAGTTCTGACTGAATTCTATCATCAGCCAAGTTTACAGGGTGATCACTAATGTTGGTAACTCGCTATTACAGTTCAAATGTGTGAAACCTAATAGCTCACTGTTAACGTCTCTGGCTGCGACAATGGGTGACTCGCATCGAAATCTCAGAGAAGACATTTTTCAGATACACACCTTGCTGATAAGTACTGAAAGAAAAGCACGAAATCCAGTATGAGGACTGCTTGTAGGATCACCTTCGATCAAAATCTCGAAGTCGATATCGTAGAAAAACAACATCAGTTTGAGAATCATTGAAAAACCTAGTTTTGAACTTTTCAACAGTGATTACGTACAACGGTGACTGATGAGTCCCAAAATAGGACGAAACAGCTGTCTAGTACTACCACTCCCTAGTGGTTTTCAGTCGTTTTCTAACCAAAGTCAATTCTTGACCAAAACTGAAATCAATCAAAATGTCTACAATCCATTATACTAATGTGTTGTTGTATGTCACAACAAAAAAATATTTTGTTTCTTATAGACGATTAATTTACTATTGAATGAACCAGTTTCACGATTGAATACAACTATGCATTCTACTCAACCGAAGGTGAAGCCTACTCAACGCCCAATTCATCATCATCATCCACCAGCTTTTATTCAAACAAAGCCATTATGCTTTATTGATGATGAACTAAGAACAGTACAGAATAGTCGTAATATTTATTTAGCTAAACACCAAGATAATTTAATGACAGGTGATATATCAAATCTTAGTAATGCATTTCCATCCGCATTCTATGCTGATCGTCTGCGTCCGGATAGTAAGCTATCACCTGTTGGTATTCGTATGTTAAATATCTCATTTGGTTCACCAATGGATGGATTTTATGCTAATTCGAAGTATATTGTTTGGTAAGTTAATTGGCATGTTATGTGTTGTGTGAGTTTCTCTGCCTAACAGTTTTTTTTCTGTCACCCTGATGGAACTGTATCTCACATGGGATTACACGCTTGATTTTTAACCACTACATTACAAGCCTGTTCCCCACCTCCCACTTACTGCTGTTTAGACAGGTAGGTGTCACATATTGCCAGTTGCATGAAAATACAAAGCAACGAATAAAGGCTATAATCAGCTGATCTGCTGTGATGTCAACAAATAGATATCTGCCAATCCGAAGATGTGTAGTTGTCTGTGCAGATGCGTGGGCGTTATGCAGGCAACTTGTCTGATTGGTAAATTTAAGTTTGTCGACACCATGGCTAATCAGCTGATTATTGCTTATATCCACTGTCAAAATGTAAGTGGTTGTTCACTTGCATCTCATTCTCATTTAGATCTTGCCTTGTTTATGTTTGCATTTTACGAAGACCAATGGATAATGATTTCTCTCCCATGAGATGGGAGAGGGAAATGAAAGTGTGTGGGGGGTTGTTACTTTCCGGCTGTCCGCACCATAGAAATTGACTTCTCATGGAATACCCGAAAGAGAAAGAGTACTAGTGCTGCGTGGATGCAGAGCCCAGCGGACAACTGCTTCGGGCCAGTCACACACTACCTGTTTGACTTGATTTTTGGAGTTGTGTTCATATTAAGATTTTACTTCCAACTGTGGAGTGTCGTAAGCTGAGTCGAGATGTACATTTTTCGGGGTCAGCGTTTTCTAACCCTCCTTTTCAGATCAGACAGGTAGCATTACTGACATGATGGTCATCTAAGAGAAACACCTTACTGCTGTTACATCTCTTCCTCAGCATTATAACTTCACCCACCTACTCTGAGCCCGACCGAAAGCTGCTACCTTGACGTGGTGGTCGGGCTTGAACACCGCAATGATCTATTCAAGCTATACTGGCTGAGACTTATGTCTCTTGAGGTCTACCATGCCAGGCAGGTTGTTTGGATAGCGGTTAAACAAAAAGCAGCTACCCAATCCAACATCATGATGCATACAAAATCACAAAATTTCATGCCGGATCGGCCGTGGCCCGGATTAACAACGACCGCGCTTCCTGCTGCCGTGTCACAGGGCAGGAGTGATAAATCTGCTACTGAGACACACCAAACAAAAAGAACGAACAAAAACAGGCCGCGTGTGACCGGCCTCAAGCAGTTGTCCCCTGGGCTCTGCGGTCACGCAACCAACTTCCACGGTGTGGGCAGCCGGGAAGTAACAATCGCCCTCACAATCCGAAATGCACACGAAACCTCTCTATTACTCACTCATCTTTGTCTTCATCTTCATCTCTATCATCTTGCCTTCCTTCCACTGATGCAACTCCTCGACTTGATAGCTCTCCACTTCCTCTCCACTCTGCGTCCACTAAAAACGATGGAAGCCAAAAAACCACCACCGACAGCCTCTTAAAGCCGCGCCACCAATTTCATATAGGAGCTCTTAATGTTAGGACACTTTGCCAAATAGGACAACAAGCATCACTAGCCAAGACCCTGGCATCACGAGCCATTGATGTATGCTGTGTTTCAGAAACACGCATACAAGACCCAAGTGTGGTTATTCACCTAACCCCACCTGGCCAACAGGTTGAATCTGCAAAATTCACCTTGAGGGTGTCAGGAGATGCCACAGCTAGTTCACGAGGATTAGCTGGCGTAGGGATAGCTTTGAGTACTAGGGCAGAAAAGACATTGCTTGACTGGATCCCGGTAGATAGCCGAATGTGTGCTGTCCGTCTGAACGGATCAGTAAGAAGGAGGAAGGACTGCACTACTCGCCGATGCCTTTTCGTAATCTCCGCCTACGCCCCCACTGACTGCAGTTCAGATGAAACGAAGGATGAGTTCTACCAAAAGCTGTCTAGTTTGGTGAGAAAGGCTAAACGCTCAGACATAGTCGTTCTAGCTGGTGACTTTAACGCTCAAGTAGGGAAATTGTGTCAATCTGAGAAGGATGTCGGTGGCACCTATGGAGTTCCGTGCCAGCGAACCGACAACGGTGACCGTCTCCTACAGTTCTGCTCTGATAATCATTTGTTTCTTGTAAGCACTAACTTCAAACACAAGGAGAGACACTGTTTGACTTGGAGACCCCCTTCATCAAACCAACGCTGGACACAAATAGACCACATAGCAATAAGCTATCGTTGGCGTGGGTCGGTAGGAGATTGTCGCTCCTTCTGGAACACGTGCGTAGATACCGACCATGCACTGGTCCGCGCTCGGGTGTGCTTACGACTGAACGGACGTAGGAAACAGCTGGCGGTAAAACCATCACGTCCCCAGCTCGATCAGGAAACTAAATCCGTATTTGAGGAAGAACTAGCTAAACACATATCTGTGTTCGACAGCTGTGCTCACCCTGAAGAAGCTTGGAAAAATATCCAGGCAGCCATAGATACAGCTGTAAAAGCTGTGAATAAGGTAAACCCAAAGGTGAGTAAAAACCACTGGATCTCCACCGCCTCATCCGAACTGATAGATGCTAGAAGACTTATTCCGGCGAGCTCCGAATTCAATGAGGAGCGAAAGCTGCACAAGAGGAAACTTACGAAAAGTCTCCGCAAGGACCGTGAACAGTGGTGGGCGACAAAAGCCAAAGAGATGGAGAAAGCTTCGAGGATAGGCAACACCAGGCAACTCTTTAGACTCATCAGGGAAACGGGTGGGAGAAGACAAATCATTAGTGAGACAATCTCGGAAAAAAATGGCACTATAATTAGCTCCCAGGATAGACGACTGGATCGTTGGAAAGAGCATTATGAGGAGCAGTTTAATTTGCCCACAGCCACGCTCAACCTTCCGAGCATCCAACACCTCCCTGAATGGGATATAGACACAGGTCCTCCGTCCCTAACTGAGGTTACTAAAGCTGTCACCAATCTGAAACTAGGCAAAGCAGCGGGACCTGATGGAATGACTCCAGAGGTATTTAAGTACGGTGGAGACAGCTTACTGTCTGCATTAACTGAGGTACTAGGCAGCGTCTGGGAATCAGAAGAAGTCCCATCGGGTTGGTGTAAGTCACTGATTATCCCCATATACAAGAAGGGAGACAAGTCTTCCTGTGATAATCACAGAGGGATTAGCTTGACTAATATAGTATCTAAAGTCTTAGGCTCAATAATCATGCGTAGACTGAGTGGTGCTCGGGAAGCACAAACACGAGAGAGCCAGGCAGGCTTTAGACCAGGAAGAGGGTGTATTGATCATATCTTCACCCTCCGACAGATTCTAGAACATAGGCATTCCTACCGGCGTCCAACAGTCATTATATTTCTTGACCTAAAGGCAGCATTCGACTCTGTCGATCGAGAAGTTCTCTGGAGATGCTTGGCTGTAAAGGGAATTCCGAGAAAATATATTGCACTGATTAAGGCACTCTACTCGTACTCATACAGCCAGGTGAGGGCTTACGGCGAGCTGTCATCTGAACTGATGACGACCAGTGGTGTCCGTCAAGGATGCCCATTATCCCCTTTTCTATTCAACTTCATCATAGATGTGTTAATGGACTTAACCCTAGGTGACTTCAGCGACTCAGGGATTGACTTGCTACCAGGGAATAATCTCGTTGACTTGGAATATGCAGACGATATAGTCCTTCTAGGCGAAGACGCTGACGAAATGCAGAGTCTTCTAAACACCTTGAGCCGCAATCTACGAATGTTTGGCATGCGATTCGCTCCCGCCAAATGCAAGATGATGTTACAGGACTGGACTACATCGACGCCTAGTTTAAAAATAGGAAGTGAAGTGGTAGAGCACGTTGACCGCTTCACTTATTTGGGAAGTACCATCAGCCAGTGCCAACGGGTTGATCTCTGACGAAATCTCAGCACGAATACAGGGGGCTCGTTTCGCATTTGCCAGTTTACGCCGACTCTGGCGTAGACGAGATGTTCGACTATCGACCAAAGGGCGGGTGTACTGCTCATCAGTCCGCTCCGTCCTCCTTTATGGTTGTGAGACCTGGCCACTGAGAGTGGAAGACATGAAAAGACTAGCTGTCTTTGATCATAGGTGCCTGCGCTCTATTTCCCGTGTAAAGTGGCATAATAAGGTGAGCAACATGGAGGTTAGGCGTAGAGTTCTAGGTAAACAGGGGAAATCAATCGACGAAGTCGTGAAGCTACAAAGACTGAGATGGTTAGGACATGTGTTACGTATGCCAAGCCATCGCCTCCCTCGACGAGCAATGTTAGCGGATATAGGGTCAGGCTGGAAAAAAGCTAGCGGCGGTCAAACAAAAACTTGGCACCAGTCAATGAAATCCACAACAGTTGGTCTAAGCCACGTAGGAAGGTGTAGACTTCCAGGCTGGGGTCCTCGGGACGGTAAAAATCTATGGTTGGAAACAATTGGTGACATGGCTCAAAATCGTTCTCAGTGGCGCAGATGCATCCACTCCTTGTGACTTATGATCTCCAATGAAACTTTTGTTTTTCTTTATTACTCCTTTGTCTCACACCTCTGCTCACTGTTTCTATTATGCTTTTCTTGTACTTTCTTCTCTTGCTTCGCGTGCTACACGGAGTGTGGCGACTTGAACTTCCGCACATTTGTGCAAAGTTCCATGTTGAAAACAGACAGACAGACAGTGTAAAGGACTTCATTTATACTTGTGGTGATAACTGGTTTTAGTCTTAATCACTATCCAAACATCTTTTATAGCATGGTAGGATTTGCAGCAACGCTAGATCCGGCCTATGTAGCTCAATGGCTCACCGCGATATAGAAGCCTCACCACCACGTCAAGATACCAGACAGACTCCTTTGTTCAATAGTGAATAAGAAATGAAGAAGAAGATTGAATCATTAGAGAACATTGTACACAATACAACTGTACATAGGGTTTCGTAGGCAGAGGCACTAGAAGTAACAGTGGTTTCCTTTGGTTGTGTTGCAAGTTATGTATTCTCTTCTTCCATTGTGAATTGATGAAGATTGGAAAGAGTCATCCACTAGTTCTCACCTGTAAACAACAAGTCGCTCTGTATTTCTGCATACCCTGTAGGAAGGTTTTTGTGTATGCATGGAAATTTAACACTTTGAATAAGAAGTTACCTAATCGCTGTTATCGGAAAAAAGTAATCGTCTTATGCCTTCAATTATCCATGGAAAACATCATTTTCCACAGTGCGTGTTGGGTGGGGGGGGGTATTTGGGTGGTGTCAGTGGACTGCGTGATCCTGTTAGCATTCAAATTCAATAACTTCTCCATAGTTTTTAACATATTGTTATTCACAGTTTTATTGTCTGAATACATTATCAAATACTGATTAATAATCCAGCGGGAATGTCCTGTACTCATCTTATAGAAGGGTTTGTGAAACACTTGACTGACCGAGTTTCACCTCAGAATTTTGCACAGAAATTCAACAATTCAAGTTGCTACACTGCATACGAAGGGAGAGAGAAAAAAGAATTTAAAAAAAACAATAATGAGCTGAAATGTAAGGGAGAAAGAACAGTAACATTGGAAAGCATGACAATTTAGTGGCTATGCGATATTGCAAAGACTGAATTCATCTGTGCCATTGACGATGATTTTAAGCCATATTACCAATAGTCTGAAGACATTCATTCTTAGAGTGTCGCGAACATCAGTCAGACAGTCTACACCTCACCACATGGCTCAAACCGATTGTCAAAGACTCCATGTACTGATTTCAAGTTTTGGTGTAACTACTCTTAAGATCTATTGATTTCAGAGCTCTCTTACATCATAAACTGACATCAACCGAAGAACAGTTGGATGTAAACACTAAATGACTCTTTTGTTCTACTTTAAGAGGACTCCTTAGCTAGTGTGCACTAAATTACTTTAAATGAACTAAAAATTGCGATCATCAAATCCCACGGCAATCTATCTGGGAAATTTCTTTTCTTCAACTGAACACTTGAAACTTGTAGAAACAATTTTTTTTCATCAGTTACTTGGTTCAAAAATGGATACTACTGATTGGCATGATTAGTTGGAAACCACTCACGTGGTTTAAACACCAAACGTTCGTTTCGCTTTTTTCGGATTAATATCATCATCAGTGTTGTACCTGGTGGTTAGACTCAGCTCAGATAACTGAATCAGTTCAAACCACTTGCAAGTTGTCTAAACTCTTTTTCCTCTGTGAAGAGGTAATGAAGGTTAAAAAGAGTCATTGGCGTGTACACCGCAGTAAATATATAGTTGCTCTATAGGTTTCCATACCCGGTGGCAAGGTTCTTACATGCTTTATATGTCATTAATATCATTCTGATCTACTTCAAGCTGCAATATGATCATGGATTTGCAGTAATGGATTGTTAACCCTACAGGGCAGTTTCTTCAACTAATAACTTAGTAATTACCTGTTGAGTGGTGGTGGCACATTCCATCCAATTGTTTTTCAGTCCCAGTTTTTATAAATCATAGGCAAAGCATCTAATTTTACTTTAACGACTGGCTACAACTAATTAACTAACTAATTGTGAAGCGTTCTATTTTACATTTCTACTCTATGCGTAGCGGATTCTGGTTACGAGAAGAAGAAGGGACATTATCATAAGTTCTAGTAGACTGAGACCGATATTAGTGAGGAAAGGATATTCACATTTCTGATTACTTATTGTTTTTCAACAGTTTCCACAGTTATACGTCCATAATAATAAAAAAAATTTTCTATTGACAACATTAATACTTTTTAATAATATTAAAATCAGTAATACCAATAGATTACATTTTAAAAAATTGTGAGTGTGTTAATCAGATAAATTAATGAAAGTCATAAAGATTTTATGGGGTCACAGCAGGCCAGAGTATTGGCAGCAATTGACTGAACCTATTTCTTTTGTACACAGAATTCTAGTTGTTTCAATCGAATTCCTATGACTTTGGCTGTTCGGAGTATTCCGTATCTAGAGACCTTTAACAATCTATTCTGTACCCGATAGGAGATGGGAAAAGACTCTTCAATGCTGGCTTTTGTGGGTCTGTGTAGATCAGTTTGTTGGATATCGAACTGTTAATAGTAGGCGTTTTTGAGCATGAAAAACTAAGATCATAGAACAACGGTCAATATAAGTGACTCCACCGAAGCAATTAAACTAAACTGACAGATCCCAGAAGAGGTGGCTAGCTTAGGTGTTTCATTTTTCAGTTAGTGAACCACAACCAGTTTTGTGGAAAATATGAGCTGAAGCTTGCCGGCACTCAAAGTTCTTTCAACTGATTTTCTTAACTTGTGGGTTATTATTCCACACCTACCAATGCGGCTAAATAAAGGTGTAATGGAAACCATGAATGGTTCAGTATTAGATCACTTAATCTAAATAGGCCATCACATTGAAGAATCTTTTTCTGTCATCTGTAGGGTAGTGTGGAGTAAAGTTCTGAAGTACTCTAGATACGAAATACTCCAAACTGCAATACGCCTAAAGCAACCTAAAGTCTGCTTACTGAGTGAAACAGGTTCAACCAATATGCCTACCGTAGCCTGTTTGTAAAATCTATGAATTCGTAAATTCTGCACTATTTTTCGTAATTTATCTGATAAGAAATTTAGCGTCACATTTAAGAGTATTATCGCATACACGTGTTTTGTACTGTTATCTACACTGACTTTTGTCAATAATAGCAATAATTCTTTAACTAGTATGGCTACACACACAACAGCAGAACCTGGTGAAAAAGAAGGAGTGTGAACATTCTTTGTTCAATACTACTAATCTCAGTTGTTTTGAAGTCTTTTAATTGCCATCTTTGATCAATTATGATAAAAACAAAGATTGACTTAAACTTCTGTTTACATTGTGTAATTTCTTTCAAAAAGTATGTTACTTAGTCTGTGTGTAAATGTGTGCTTGTGTCTGTCTGTCTGTCCTTCTGGTGTGCGTGTGTGTGTAATAAGGATGAACGGTGTTTTTGTCCTGCAAACCCTTCATTTTCCACCTAGACACATGTTCTCACAGCTAAATTTAAAATGACTGAGAATGTTTTGACCAATTCTCGCTTATTTTGGGTGGTTGCATCAACCCTGGTATCATCTTTGCCATAGGGTATCTCCACCAAAAGTCGCATTGTAGCGTGTACTACTGATAAGATCTATCAGCAGTATATAAAGAGACGTCCATCGGCATGAGAGCATCAAATAGCAAGGAGGTAGACTTGATGTCAGTGAGAGGAAATGACAGAGCGTTGCGGAGATATATGGCAGACGTGAAAGGAACACAAAGAAACACTATCTGAAGACCAGGGGTAGCAAGCACAACACAGAAGATCCGTGCAAATAGTGTGTTGAGGATAAGGTGTACACAATTTCCCTACATAGACGTACCAAATTCCAAATAAACATTCCTTTACCGTTACGGTATGCACTCAGCAGCGTTCAACTCCATGCATCTTTACAGATGTGTTACTCTGTCGTTGATAAATGGGAGATCTGAAAAGGTTAGCAATTTCTGACTATAAGTGTCCGCGTCCCATATATCATGCCAGGTGTGAATGGTTGAGTGTCAACATAAAACTTTGCACAAAAGTGAAGCATTTTAAGCTGCCACACTCTGTATAGCATACAAACATACAGAAAATTTCCCTTCACGTTCCCAAGGGAACATAGGGCCTCAAGCTAGTGGCTGGAAGTTTCTGTAGCAGTGTTTTTTTATTTTACAGGATGGGGTTGCTGGCCTCATACCCAACCTTTCCTATTTACCAGCTTTATTTCTAGCTTAGCGAGGTAAAGGCGTGCGTCGGCCGGGGATCGAACCCGGACCATGTATATGGTCGGCGAGCGTCCTAACTGCTGTGCCACCGACGCACGAAGGTACTATAATAAACGGAAATATGTACAAGGAAAACTGAAGAATACTGAGAATCTAATCGATCTCGGAATTTGCAAAGAGAACATGCCTGTATCCTATTAAAAACGTTTTTGAACCATATCACCAATATTGACTAGTCATTAATTCTCAGTGTTTCATGTTAAATTTTATAATGTGGTCAACTTAGATGTTGCCTTACATTTAGCTGTCATCTAGTAGGTGCCGAGTTCGAGTCTCCACTTCACCTACTTCATCCTGAACAACACAACTGTTTTGTATCAGTCGTATCAATAATTGTGTGGCTCATAGTGTCTGGAACATGAAATATCTCGTCCATCTAACTGACCTCAAACAAAACAATATTCATGTATCCTATCCAATCATATCTTGATCAGAGTTCATAACCTTACCCTTCCTTACTTTCTTTTTAATAAATAGGACTGCCTCATTTGGATTAGGCGATGCACCAACGGATAGTCTGTCTTCTCTACTCATTGGTTTAATTATCTTTTCAACAGTAATTGTTTTATGCTCAGTTATTATTGGCAGTGTTCTCACAGTTGTTATGCGTCGACGTGTTAGAAGACCAAACAATTTTAGCCAATTTGTCAATGATCCTGTGGCATAGAAGATGAAACGAAAAAAGCAAAACAAATCACAATTTCACTACTGCTACAACCACTACCACTACTACTACTATTTTGTATTTGAAACAATATTCACATAACCTTTTTGTTCTCTTCCCTTTCCGTTTCCCTCCTCGCCCCCCCCACACACCTGATTTTTTTCTGTTCAATGTGAAAAACATCTACGAAATACACGAAAAATTATCCCCAGTTTATTTACATCCCATTGATTGATTTATGTATGCATGTGTATATGTGTTGTGCCATATTACCTCACACACACACGCATGCACACACACACCCCTCTCATAAAAATACATTTATTGATTTTTGTAATATTTACTTTTTCTTTTGATTTTTCTTTCTCTTGCTGACGAAAACTTGTGCCTTGTATTATTATTTCGAATCCTAATTATTTTGGTTAACAGTACACCTGTTACTATCAATTATCATTTAATGGTGTTTCCAAGTTAAATTGAAGATGGCCGGAGGATGGGGGTTAGGATTGTTTTCAGGGGAAACTATTGATTTCAGTTAAATAAAGCAATTAGAGAGAAAATTATAGAGTAAAAGAACAAGAAACTCAATAGGGGGGGGGGGCTTACAAATTATATTATCCCTGACCAATTTTACTCTTAGTTCCAATCAATTACTTTTTTATCATTATAAAAAAAGTATGTTTAGATGCTTAATTTGATTTAGAATTTCGGTTTTCACCAGTTGAGAAAAATCCAAGAAATAACTAAAATAAAAGAATGAGCTGAGATTATCCTGGTGCATTTGTCGTTCCTTCTTTATTCATATTCTCTATATACGCTGGTAGATTTGATATCTAACTGTATGTCTGTTAATCACTGACTCATCTGAATACCAGGCCTCTAGAGATTCTCTGGCATTTATTTTGGTCTATAAGAAGGGTAATGAATGAAATCTTTGCACATATAGACCACCCAGCGCAAAGAACGAGACCATATCAAAAAAGAACTTCAAAGCCGTAGACAATAATTCATTTAACCGCGTTTATAACTGCGATAAACCACAATTATGAATCTTAACACTAAGTAATATTCACTATCATCAGTATACTTTATTTGTGGAACAACAGCGGTGAATATTTCAAACATTATTTTGCAAACCAAACAGAGATTAGAGGTTAATTGGGGATGGTCACTAGCAGTGGAATCCAGGATGCGCATTTCCTCCTATTTGGGACTCGTTATCTGGATATACCTGCATTTCTCAGTGAGTGCTGATGTTCCCACTGAGGCTCACACCCAATGCCCATAGTTTCCAACGCCAAAGCGTTATCCACTAGACCACTTTGGCCACGAGAACACTTCGGTCCAATCAATCGACGGGAAAATCTAAATTCAACCAAACAGAGGTTGTTGAATTTTCAAGTTTAATTTTGTAGGAATCTCATTGATTTCAAGTTAACTGATGGACAGAATTAGTGAAAACTAACTGTGAGTTCTGGATACCTGTTTCTTCTTTGTTTGGGACTCTTCATCAGTATGTATCCATGACGCCACCTTAAATCAAACCCAGAACATGCGAGCTCACTGATCATTTTTCCACTTGGGTAGGAATACAATGACACATCACTTCTATTTTCTACCAATTCACGGTACCTAGCGCGACCACCAGCCAATCTCATCGGCCAGTATTTCTCCTCACATCAGACCCCACTGATCACGAATTCTCATTAGAAATTTAGATAATTTCGTCCTGTGGTCATTCACTCCACATCATTAGTTTTCAACTGTTATTTCGTTGGGATTCGATTGGTCTCAGATTTTATTATGCAGCTTGGCTCTGAGGTCTGATCATCTGTTGCGTGCTTATGAAGAGTCCTAAACTAGGAAGAAACACCTATCCAGTTCTCCCTGGTTTTTGCAATGGATCTGTAACTGATGTCAATCCGTGATCAAACTTAAATTATTTAAACAAAAATGATGAGTTAAGGCATATCTCAAACCGTATGGAACTCTGATTGTGACTTTCATTCTCCGTAGCAGTCATCAACTATTACCACTAGAAGTGGTCTGCTTATCTAAGACTATCATCAATTATTCGTAATATACTGACTACTTTGAAGCATTAATAATACTAAAATGCATGTGACAGTGATTTTACTTCGGTCAATTACTTTACAATATTATAAGTAGATGTAACGAAAATTGGTTTGTGTTTTCTTTTCAGCCTTTTTTTTCTCAATATTTATGTACTTGTTTTTTTTTCTCTCTGTTTGTTTATTTGTCCATCCATTCTACATATTTGTTTTTCTAAACTACTGAACAAAGTTCAATGAATCTTTCAATGAATCTGTTTAAATTAACCCGTGTGGAGATATTTGTACATCTTTTTTCGTTTCCATTTCAAACAATTTTCTAAAGGTGGGTTAAGCTGTTATTTTAACAAAGATACTGATTAACTATGATGGCGTAATTCGTTGTTATGTTTACGTAAAGACTTAAACAGTACATATATACATCTTTTCTTTAGATACTTCAATATTAAACTATGAAGTTGAAGGCTTTTTATGAGGTATTTATTTAGACGTCATCTGAATTGGTGACAAACACTGATGTCCCCCTCAGGCATACCTAATGTCCCTAATGGAATTGACCCTAATTTACTTTAGTGACATAGGGAGTGAAACAGGAGATAGAGGAAATTTGATTAGAAAAAAGTGGGCAAAATGATTAGTTTTCATATAACCAGTTTTTACATTAATATTCCCATTAATATAGCTCTGAATGAAGTTAGGAATGAACTGAACATTGATCGTGAACTCAAAACTAAGACTCAGCTCTCGGTTAATGAAATAATATTAGGTGTTCAGTTATGCCTAACCTCCACTGTATTCAAAATAAAATATATGAAGAAACGAATGAGGGGGATATAGGATCATTAATATCCTCAATAGTAGGAGACACATTAATGGATAGTTGGGAACATAAAGCTATTACAACGTTTAATTCTGCTGCTTCCAGGTGATGGTGGAGATATGTGGATGGCACATTCACTGTGTTGAAATCTGAGCCTATCCCTCAATTTCTCACATATATACACTCAATAGTAGACGGAATTCAATTCACTTCGGAGTTAAAAAGCTGACAAGGTGAGTTAGCCATGTTAGACTGTAGAATAAAACGAAAACAAGGTGATGGGCTAGATACTAACATTTATGGCAAACCATCTCATTCTAATAAATACTTAGACTTTAACTCTAACCATCCGTAATCGGTAAAAACGGGTTTAGTTAAATGTATATATTATCGGATCAGGAGCCAAACTAGTAAGCCAGAAAATCTAAATGATGAAGTCGAACAAATGAAGGAAATATTACTGGTTAATAACTACCCTCTAGAATTTATTTAGAAATGTATGAGGACCCATGGAAAAGAGATTAACAATGGGAATGACAAAAGTAATATAGAATTCAAAGCCTCTGTAGTACTAAAGTATAAGGAAGGAGCATCAGAGGCCTTGTGTAGGATTCTCAATGAGGCTTGGATTAAGGTGATATTTCGGTCAACCAACTCTCTTTGAGATAAACTTTGTCGGCTTAAAGACCTAGTAAATCTAATTAGGAAGAATAATGTAATTTACCAAATATGATGTAATGAATATGAGGTTAATTACATAGGTCAAACTAGTAGAATCAGGGTCGACTAGATTATTGGAACATAAAACTTTAGTTAGACCTAGAATAATTGACCCTGATAAGTTAAATAGCCTAGAAAGTAGGTCAACCACTGCACTGCATTCACTTGCATGTAATCACACGACAGGGTGAAATAATCAAAACGTAATATAGTTAAATGGAGAGACAGAGAGGTTAATCACTGAATCCTTGTTTATCGATTTAACACAATACGCGTGCAGTCGAAATGACGCAACGCCTATATCGGAAGTATAGAAAGTGGAAACAAACAACAGGGGAAAGAGAGAGATTATTTCCTGCTGCTTTGCCAACTTTCAGTAACTTTTTGGTATTCAAGACATCTGCTTTTGGTTATAGAATTTCATCATGAGCTGACATCAGTCACAGAACCATTGGAAAACCAACAGGGGAGTACTGCCAGACAGTTCTTTCTTCAACCTGGTTTGGGACTCCTCACCAGTACGCACTCACTGGGTTTCGAACCCCAGACCTTCCGGTTATAATGCCAGCTCGTAGACCATTAAGCCACTGGAACCCAGTCCAATGGCCAATGAATTTCAACTTCTGGCAGTTCTGTGGCTTTTGTTGGCATTTCTAGATAAGTTGTAGGTGTTGGTCCTGTGAATTGCTCAATCCGTCGTTCTCTTTAATTCCCCTCTTCAATAATTAGAATCCTGTCACCAACTTTGATTGGTCCTATCTGTGTTTATCTCTTACTGGATAGCGATCTGTTATGTGACATAGTTTTCTGAGGTCTCTCTTACCTGTGGCCTGTTCTGCTTCAGTTAGCATTGTATCACAGAATTGTCTTTTGTCTTTCCTAGCACACTTCATTACTTCTGTTTCACCATCGCCACCTACTCTACTAGCTTCCACAAGTCTGTAGTAAGAAATTCTTTGTCTTGAGCCTTCTTCCTTCCTAAGAGGGCTACACAGGCTTCCTTTCTAACTCTAAATTATAGATGATACTTTATTTATTGTAGTCTTATATGCACTGGACATTCTTCTCAATGTGTGTAAACACCATCATAATTTTGACTGTACTGTTAACGATTTTCCAATGAAGGAATCCCTTTGTGTTCATGTCAGTGTACGAATCAATATACCTCTTATGTTTCGTATAGTAGTGTAGTACCTTATTTCTGTATTATTGATTTTTTCATTTCTTAGTGGAAGATAGGACTTCAGACGTAAGCTATAAAACTTCAGTAGGCATAATGTTGCTTGTCATTCAAGAGGTGGAGTTACCTAGCCTCACACCTAAGCTTGCTCTTTTCCGGTATTGATACTGGTTAGCAAATTAAGTGAGGATTACGCATGTATTAGCTTAGA